CTGTTCGACTTCAACCGACCTGGCTGGCTGACCCTCTCTTTTCTTTCGACGGCGTAGCCCAAGCAAACGCGCAAAGACAAACGCAAATCCTCATCCTCCACGCCTGACAGAAACCAAACGGTGACGGCTAAGGGCACCGACCCCGGATGCGAGCAGCTCTCTGTCTAGCGACTTAGTATCTAGTCACCTAAGGTAGTATATCTTCGGATACCTTACACAGACTGGACTGCACTACTACAGTCCCAAGTGTGCGCACTTCCTTCTGATCGCTCTCCCGCTCGGCGACGGTTGGCTTCTAACTTCGACCTCTTCTTTTTTTTTCCCCGGGACGGCGTGTTCCAGCAAACGGTCGACCTTGCCGTGCATCCCATCATCGCCCATCCATGATCCTCCTCCACCTTCTTCACACTTAACACTACTCCATAGTCCATACCCATCATCCATGCATGCTGCTCATGCTGCCACCTTCTGTACCTGTGCCTATGCCATCGCACCCCGGACGATATCAAGCACACGCACATTCATACTCGCTCTCACGCTCACTCACATTCGCGCACACCACACACACCTGCTCCATTACACTCCCTGCATCTAACCAGACTACGGAGGTCCTTTACACTACACACCCTTGCTGCCACTTCGGCGTACCCTAGCCTGGTCGGTCGTGTCACAGCCCACGCTCCTCTTGTCCAATCGCCCATTCCTCCCGTGCTCCAGAGGCCCCACCGGACATCTCTGGGCTTGCTGAGCTGGCCGCCCACCTCTTCAAAGACATCCCGGTCCTCTCCACTCGCCTTGGCTGAAATCAATCCATCTATCCATCCTTCTGCCGCCGACTCCCACACTTTGCTCTACCTACTCCTCCTCCTCACTGCCTGCTCTGACCTACGCACGCCTGCTACTACTACCACCACCACCACCACCACTACCACCGCTGCCGCTGGCTCGCCTATTACATCTTACCTACCCTCCTCTCCCTCGCGTGCTATCGTGCCTGATATCCCCTCTTTTCTTTTCACCTTTCTGCAGCCATAAGCCATACCTCACCCTCACCCTCGTCTGCTGCTCTTCTCTGACTCTCTCGCTCTCACACACACATTCACGCTCACACCCCATTGCGCTTTATCGACTTCGCACAACATCGTCGTCGCCGCTCTTCAACGTTGTTTGTCGGGCACCACTCTTCGCAGAATATCGCCATCGCTTGCCTGATCGCATCGTGTCGATCCAGCGATCCCGTCGCTAAACTTACAATTTGACCGCCAAAAGGCCCCCTTGCATTCACGACCCACAACTCATTTCCAAAGTCTAGACCCGACCTAGGTGAGCCTTGAGTCTCCTCTCTCTTTCTCCTCCCTTCAATCATGCAAAACCCCGTTCGGGTTCAAGAACCTTGAAGCCGGGCCCTGTCAGGTTGACAGAGTCAAGACCACACCGTCAACTACTTATCTAACCTTATGCCTTTGCGGCTCGCTGACATGCCCTCCCTCCCACAGCCCACTACTTGCCGCGAACGCACTTGACGCAGGTTTGGAGACGACATCATTCAACTACACTCGGCCGACATGGCCAAACCCACGCGCTATACCGGCTCTCATGAGCCTTTGCAAATCTACCAAGACGACTTTTTCGAGAACTCGACAACAATGATCAACCACGCACCCATGCCTGCCGCCTCTAAGCCACCGAGGAGGCCGCTTGGCGCAACAAGTAACAACAATGTCGTCCTCAACCCTCCGATGCTCGCATCCGACAGACACTCGCCTCTAAAGGCATCATCAGGCAACATCAAATCGCACCATGCCCCGTTGAAGTCCCAGGGTAGCAAGTTAAACATGGTGCCAATGGCGCCACCATCAGCAAACAACCAGAACACCGATTCGCTACACAAGAAGCCCTACTTATCCAAGTTCAAGACCGTCGCACAGAAGCCTCCTTCTGTGGATTTGGCCGCCGGATTCGGGAAGGAGAATGTTCACCCGCAGTTGTATCCTGCGCCACCGACCATCAACTTTGATCAGTTCTACATGCACAAGGGACCCGGAAAGCGCACATTGATGGAGGCTGCACCGATCAAGGAATCACGACCTCTGAAGAAGGTAAAGGCCGATGAGTCCGGCCTTCCACCTCACGACTCTTTCCCTCCAATCGTCGACGATGGGACGAAACCGGGCCACAGCTACGCCACTTTGATTGGGATGGCAATTCTTCGATCACCACTGCGACGCCTGACGCTCGCACAAATTTACAAGTGGATCTCAGACACGTACTCGTTTTACAAGGCGGAGGAGTCGGGATGGCAGAACAGCATTCGGCACAACCTCAGCCTTCACAAGGCCTTTATCAAGGTGGAACGACCAAAGGACGACCCGGGCAAGGGAAATTACTGGACGATCCAGGAGGGCATGGAGCAACAATTCATGAAGGACAAGCCGGCAAGAAAGACGGCAACGACCGCCGAAAACGTGCCTGTCATGTCAACCCGTATGGAACCCTCAAGGCCGGCCAACATGCCGATCCAGGAGCCGACTCTTCCGCCTCCTGCACCGATCAGACATGCAACAACGCTCCCGCCTTTGCCTACTTCTCAGGCTACCGTTGCCGTTGAGTTCTCATCCGATGCCACCATTCCTGTCTCGGACTCGGCCGCACCTGAAGATGGACAGGATAAGCTGGACCACGAATGCTCTCCTCTGCCGCCTACGATGCATTCTTCACCGCCCATTCCGCGACACATGGAGCCCCGCAGCCGCACGCCTCCTCCGCCTGGCCGCGGACCTATGTCGTCCATCACCAGATCTCACAAGAGAAAATTCGCGTCCATGGATGACAGCGGTTACATCTCGTCTCTCGAATCCTCTGCTTTGCGCCCGCAAAAGACTGGCATTCTTACCTCAGAGGCCGATCGCCCTCGCAAGCGCAGTCGCGCTGGCAGGGCCGAGGATGAGATTGCTCGCTTGCGCGCGTCGTCTTACGATAGCCCTAGCAAGGGTCGGTCGTATAACGCGTTCGCCCCACCGTCCTCATCGCCGCTCCGCCAACAAGGGCAGATGCTGCCACCGCTCACGCCAGCCATGAAACTGAAGCCGCCTACCAAGGCCCCGCCTTCTGCCTCGCCCAACACCAATCTTCGCCAGCACCGCGAAAATGTCCGCCAGATGCTGCAGTCCCCGATCCGCAAGATGGTCGGCACCGGTGACGGCAACGCTCCGTGGAGCCCCGCTTTCAACTTGGACGAGAGCGTCTACAACTACAACCTGATGGCCGCTGGTGACTTTGACATCTTCCAGGACATGGACAACGACTTCTTTGACGGCCTACCTCAAGAGTCTCCCTCCAAGAAGTCTGGTGGAAAGCGACCCCGTCTTGAGCGTACTCACTCTGCCAATGCCTTGGCCGATGCTCATGACTCGGGTAACGGCAACAAGTCGGTTCTCTCAACGCCCTTCCTGAAGGCACCCGCACAACCTTCTGCCATGTGGGAGACTCCTAGCAAGGTCTTTGACGGCCTGTCCTCTCCTATCAAAGCCAACAACGACGCCGCCGTGCAATGGAGATTCCCCTCGCCGACCAAGATATCTAGTTCATTCTACGAGGTAGCGGCCGAGGGCGACTGGCCTTCGTTCTCCTTCGACACGACAGACTTCTTGTCGGAGGAGACCACCGAGTACTCGGGTCTCGACATCCTGCAAGGCTTTGAGAAGATTGGCTCTGGCTCCCAGCCCAAGTCTTCCGGCTCCAAGCCCAGCAAGCCTGCGTTTGGACGAAGCTACACCACGCAATTCTAGTCTCTTGCGACGAGACGACGATGACGACCGTTACGATGTATGAACACACTTACTGGCATGACGTCCCGATGCATTCAGGCATTCAGGGCCTGTTTCGACACACTTCACACGATAATGGAGCGCGCGGGGGAAACACAAAATACTTTGGGCTGATTTTAAAGACTAATGTCTGATTCGGGCTTCGAGGCTTTCACAATTCTCTTGTCCATGATTGTTTGCTTTATGATAATGACGAAGCAGTGCACATATAATGTCTTGGCTCTCCTTATTTTTTCTCCGATGGGCAAAGGGAGGGAAAGCGAAGGGACATCATCATTCTTGAGAGGCACGGAGGGCACCATGAGATTCTTGTGCGTTTTTCTGCTTTTGCTTTCGTCGGCCTTGGACCAGGTTAGGTTCGGCTCGATTTTCGCTTTTTGCTTTTTTTATTGCTGTTTGGCCGGAATAGGCTATTTTGTTGTTTGTGTTTCTTGCTGTGTAGGAAAATCCGGGTTGGATGTGTAGCGTATTGGCTTCGCTCCTATTGCTAAGCACACTGGTAGTGATCAATTCTATGGAAACACGCACTAAACAGAGCCTTCTCGCAAATGTTGTTCAAGATGTCAATGATGACATGACTGTCGCGAATAACTTATACAGTGTTCTATATCCCATTCATATGGTTGTACTGTCCTTTATGTGGGCATTCCACATGATATCCGCAACAATCAAATTATATCCGACATCATCAAGAGCCCGGTGGCTTAGAAGCATGTTCAAATCAGCATGACTCTCGACTGTGTGGTGTTACGTACGTTTGAGAAGATAATCATCTTCTCGGAACCAGTAAAGTCGTCATAAATCATCGAATCATCGAAGAAGCTAGTTTTCGGCATGCGTGGGTGACCTCTCAGTCCGATGTTTGAACTCAAGAACGGGTATCATATTGTCTTGCTCTAAATTTCCCCAAATGTCCTACATGTCTATGTCTCGTTTGAATCATGACTTGTTCCCAGAACGCCTCAGAATGTTGTGCACCACCTCTACGATATCTGCCAGCAGCGTCGCCGTCGTCATCCTAGGTTCGTTGATGTCGTCGTCTCCAAGCCGAACATGGAAAGACTATCCAAAAAAATTCGCATCAAATCCTGGAAAAAAAAAAACAAGAGGCATCTTGTCAAAAACATCTCATTATAGTCTCACAGTGTCGTCGTCAGCCCGAATGCGCAAAATTTAGTAAATGCCCATCCTCGTAGCCCACCCTGACTCCTTTTGGTTAATATTGATCTGGTAGGGAAACGGGTTCGACCCCTGCGTCGTTATCGGAGGGATGTGATCCTTGTGCGCGTTGACGAAGGTGATGACCTTCATGACGGTCGTCATGAGCGTCGTCTCCATGGCTTTTCGGACTTTGGCTCGCTCTGGAAAAGTTTCACCGACAACGGTCAGCCTCTCATCTCTGTACGTCCCTTTACTAATGCGCCCCCCCCCTACCGGGTTGCCAAAGGAGGGCAAAGGGGTAGGTAGAACCAACCAGTCTCCGTCCTGGGCTCCGCGACCGTGACTTTTACGGTCCAGCATTCCCAACAGACCTCCTCGTCGCCGCGCATGAGCCAGGCCTTGCGACGCTTCTTCTCAAAGAACTGGACGGTGAGCTGGCCGCGCCCGCCGCCGCTACCACCGCCGCCGGAGCCGGACGAGGAGCGCTCCGCGTCGAGCTGGCGGACGAGGGCGGTGGCGCGCTGCTCGATCATGGTCTCGAGCTCGACGTCGTCGACGTAGGGGAGGGTCAGATCTAGGACTTCGCGGGTGTACGGAACGACGGCGGGGAAGAAGCGGTGGAAGAAGATTGTGTGGAGGATTCCTGTATCACGGTGACGAGGTTGTTTAATTAGCATTTATTCCTGTTCAAGGGCCATCACTATGGTTAATATGGTTTCGGGTTGCATGGCTTGGGTTCTGCACTTTGGAGGGGGACTGGTAAGGCAGGCGCCCGTCGCATCGCGAGGCTGAGAGGTTCGGAAGGTGTTGTCGTTCGTTTTGAGGGCGGATATGACGTCTGGCGGGGCGCGCGCGAACTGCGGGCTACCTATGGGAAAGAGGACTGGGGATGGGAGACGGGACACGGGAGACAGAGATGGTAGGTACCTTTGACGACATCCCGTACGGAGGCCGGGTCCGCAAAGGCCTCGAGAATGAACTCTGGAGCGCTGCTCTGCTGCATCGTGCCTTTTCTCGATTACGGGATTTTGCTTGGTGAGTTGGTTGTTAGACAGACAGATGCGGTTGGCGTGAAGGAGAGTGACAGATGCTCTCTCCCTCTGCCTGAGGTAAGGCGAGGGAATGACCCAAAGAAAGGTGTCAGATGTACTGAGGGGCACACTTGAGCCCAGCATTGATGCGCCGCACCGATAAGGGGGCGGGCAGAAGAGAGCGGGGAGTCACTACCGCTGTGCTGATCCAGGGAGGGAAGGGACAGAGGCGGGGGGAGGACGGGATATCGGTAGCAGGGGTACTCTTCCTGGTTGGGAAAGGTACTCCCAAGTTCCCCGAGCTGGGTCCTGGGGAGTAGAGAGTGGCCATAGACTTGTGCTGTAGCAGCCCGTACGGTAAGGTACTTACGATACTTGGGCAGTCGTTGGTGGTGGGCAGCAAGGGCGAGCAGTGATGTACCTACACTTCCTTACCGGGGAAGCGCTCGATACGGCGGCGGTTGCGGTACCGGCACTTCAGCCACAGCTGTTGGGGCAAGAGAGTTGGGAAACACGGGCATTAAATTGAGATGACGCGGGAACGTGGGTGTGGCTGGGCCGAGGTAATCACGGTTCACGACTCGCAGAGAGCAGTAGCCAGTCACTGGGCTTTCAGGCGCGAGCTCCTCTCCTCCTGGTCTGCTTAACTGCTCCAACTTATCATTACGTGCCGACCAGCCTTCCTAGAGATCGCCCAGATAGCCAATTTTGGGGGGGGTTTAATAGACAAAAAATCTCCCAATCTTCTTTTTTTCACATGATTCCCCTAGCAAGACGACCGCCTTTTTCTATTCTTTAACTCTTTAACTCGGTTCGAAAGCTTCAATCCGGGGTTCTTTTAACTATTCTCGCAATCTTTGTTGAACTTCAATCCTTCTGGTCCTTTCCCTCCATTCCCCTCTACCATACTCCGGACTGGACTCTATCTTTCCATCAACAGCCAGGCTAATCTCTCGGGCATTTAGTCGCTCGCCGCGCCAGACCGAGCCATGTTGGAAGCCACTCGGCGATGGTTCCGCCGAAATAGGACACCGCTCGCTGTGAGCGTGGGTGTAGTCGGCGCGGGCTATGTCGTGTCGCAGTATGTCATGGGCAAGATCAACGATGCGCGTGAGCGCATGAGCAGCGATCGCATCGCCAAGGAGAAGTGAGCTACATTCTCAAGATCCCCTCCTCTAAGCTACCATGATCACCCTCCCCCGACTAACACCGCCGTGTCGCAATCGCAGCCTCCGCCGCCGATTCGAGCAAAACCAAGAAGACTGCACATTTACTGTGCTCGCACTCCTCCCCTCCGCAACGACGAATATACTCGAGGTCATGAACACGGAGAAGATCACCTACGAGATCCAGAAGATGAAGGGTCAGACCAAGAGCCTCAAGAGCGGCAGCGGCAGCCCGCCGAGCATCGCAGATACTACCATGACAGAAGACGACGGACGGAGCATGGTCAGCAGCAGCGTTCAGAGCGAGAGCGGCGTGCACGCGAGCCAGTTGACGGTACCGGCCCCGACGTCGGCCGCCGCGGGAGGGGCCGCCGAGGGTGCGCAACAGGATGGCGGCGCGGCGGCGCAGAAGAGTCGGAAGTCGAAGAGGCAGTTGTGGGATGATCTGACCATCAGCTGTGAGTGACGCCTATCTGATGTGATGGAGAAGACGAGAGAGGGGAAGATTCTAACATTGACATCGCAGCCATAACAAGAGCGTTCACGCTATTATACACCCTCGCATTGCTGACGATGCTGACAAGAGTCCAACTCAACCTCCTCGGCCGCCGTAGCTATCTCTCGAGCGTTATATCCCTAGCGACTGGTACTGCCCAAGCGACTATCAGTCTGGAGAACAATGACGACGACGGCCTCGACCAGCCTTACGGCAACGACTTTGAGACGAACCGTCGCTACCTGACCTTTAGCTGGTGGCTCCTGAATGAGGGGTGGAAAGAGCTCGGCCAGCGCGTCGAGACCGCCGTCCGCCAGGTCTTTGGCCACCTGAGCCCGCGCGACCTGCTCAGCTTCGAGCAGTTCTCGGAGCTGACGCTCGCGGTGCGCAAGGCCGTTGAGGGCGCCACGCCCGAAGAGCGCAGGGCCGCAAAGTGGCTGCCCTACCTCCTCCCGCCGCGGGACAAGGAGGACCACGTCCTCCGCGAGTCGGGCATCCTGGAGGAGAGCACTGTGATGCTGTCCGAGAGCGCCACGTCTCAGTCTTCGCCGTCATCGTCGCCCGCAGTGAGAAGGCTGCTCGACGAGACGTCGGATCTCATCGAGTCGCCCTCCTTCACGCACGTGCTCACGCTCATCCTCGATGCCGGCTTCTCCCTGCTCGTGGATAAGAAGCTCTCGTCAGCAGCCTTTGATAAGCCGGACCTCGCCGAGTCGGAACCGCGCTCGTCGCAGGTGGTCGTACTCTTGCCCAAAATCCTCTCGGTCCTCACGAGGCAAGCCCACATCATTGGCAACGGGATGCCGAATGAGTACCTACAGGAGATGGAGCAGGTCGCCGACCTCGAGGGCTTTGCGGCCGTGGTGTACTCGAGCAATTGGGAGAATGAGATCCACCACGACGACGAGGGCATCATGGCGAGCGCCGTTGACGTGAGGGCCAGCGAAGTGCCTCGCGCCAGCCAGGGTACTGCTGCAACTTTCCCAAGTCAGACGCAGGGGACGACGCAGGGCACCGGAGAGGAGAGCCTCGTGATGGTGAACCCGCAGTCTAGCTTTGAGAGCGCGTGGGGGAGGGCGGTGGACAGCAAGTAGGCCTTCCATCCAAAATAGAGAGACATAACATGTACATGTGGCCCGAACCTCGATTGATGTTGTGTTCTCGAGGTGTGTGAGCCTGGCTATGACATTTTTAATGATATTTACGGGGTTATGGACAGGACAGGTGGGAAGGTAAGGGAGGGATGGAGCTGGAAATATAGGTATCATTGTATAATCTATGGTCAAGAGATAGACGGTTCATCTCTCGAATCTGTATCAACAAAGTACGGGGGTCAAGCCCAGAGCTGGAGATGGCGCAGCCTCCGTCCATTCCTTTGATCCATTTTGCTCAGCCCGCGATTCTACTGATGATTCTCCCTTGTTGTCAGGCCGTCCAGTGGTTCTGGGACGCCTTTTCTTCGTCTATGTTTGTGGTGGGGGGGTTTCCTTCTTCAGGCATGAAGTGCGTAATCGGTGCCAGGGACTACAATGCATCTCGTAGACACGTTTGTTCCATGATGCCAGCCTGGCAAAAACTCGTTGCGGCTCGACATCGAATTCTCCCGTGCTGAGTTGTTGGGATTCTCCCCTTTCTCCTCCCCAGTTCTAAGGGCTCCCACTCACATATCGTCTTTCCCTGGGTTTGGTGTTTTCTTGTTCTTTGTTCCTTTCCAACCTGGCTGCCGAACGGCGAGAACGGTGTCCTTTACATCAAGCCCCTGACGAACTGATCCAGACCCAGCTCGAAAAGTTCGTTCTTGACGCCTTCGCCACCCTTGTGTTCGGCTGGTGCTAGGGGGTTCTTGACGACTGCAAAAAGAGGTCAGCAAGTTATGATCCGTTGCCAGGAAAAGAGAGGAAGCCCTCAGGGTGGGTAATTGTCACCGTACCGTATTCAACCCAGAGGTTAATATAAATCTGATGCAGCACATTCCGCATACTCAGCGTCGCCGTATCAGTAAGCATGACGAAGCGCAGGTTCGAGGGCGTCTCGTAGTAGTGGAGCTTGTAGGCCGAGGTGCGGTAGCTGATAAAGGCGTCATCGTCCCCGCCGAGCTTGCGGACCATGTTGCGGAGGGAGAAAACCGTGCCAAAGATGAGCTTGGCGTCGTCCTTGGCCGAGTTCACCTGGCTACGGCGGCCGAGCTGCTGTGATGGTGGTGGTGCGGCGCCCGTTCCGGCTGATGAGGGAGGTTGTTGGGATGGCGGGCGCTCGGCGGGGAGCCAGGTTTTTGAGTAGATGCATTCCGTGTGGCGGTCGAAGATGTAGAAGGAGTAGACGACCATGTTGGGCTAGGGGATGGCCGCGACGGCGGCGCGGGGGTTGCGCGTGTTTGCGCCGGGTTTCGGTGTCGTCTGGAGGCGAGGCGAGGCGAGGCGGAAAGGGATGGAGGTTGGTCGTTTAGGGGCGCATGCCGGGGAGTTGTGCAGGGTACGTAGATTGCGGATTGATTCTGTATCTCGAGAATTCGGGATTCGAATCTGGTCGTCTTCGGGTCGTCAATGAATTCGCTGGTTTCCGGTGTCGTTGGGTATCACTGGTTGAAAGTCGCAAGATGCTCATGAAGATACGAAGTAAGGTAGCTAGCTTGGGCGGGACGATTGAGTGTGGTCGGCCGTTCAGTGGCCCCAGCCCCGAAATGCGGCTACCGTTGCTTGTCTCGGTCGGTAGGTACCTCGGTGGACCTTTGAAATTGCAACTGTGAGCTGGAGCTGGTCCGATTGCGTAAGGTACAGATGCTGGCAGGGGGTGTCACTCTGCCTTGTGGTGGACCCCCCGGACGGAACGTAATTCTTTGGCGCAAGGAGGGGTTCCGAGCTGGCCCTACGAGGGGAGCACACTAGTCAGCCCATGATGGGAAATCTACGATGCGCCCAATGACAGCGGGCAGTGATGCTGGGCATGGATATGAGGAGCCGTGGAAATGGATAAGACGGAACCTGGGCTTTTCGTAGGGCGTTGAGAACACTGGAGACCTGCGAGGTGATCCTTGGGGGAAAATAACAGACGTGGGGGCTGGAAGGGGGCTCACTCTGAGCCTGAAGAGCTGAAGGAGAAACGCCTACCTATTTTTTCCCACCTTCGAATACAAAGTACTTCTCTCTCTCTTCCCACCCCCGGGCCCTTGTTTCCTTTCGGTCAGGTTTTAAAGCTCAGCTGTCGTCTCGTTTTCGCGAATCCTAGTGCCCTTGCTTATTATTTCCTTTCTTTTGACGTCGCTTTCGCTTTTCTCACCTCACACGCGCGCTTCCAGGTTCAAAACGTCGCCAGCTCCATCGCTCGCTCGTCCGGTCGTTCGCGCCTACCCGTCATACCTACCTAGTATTGCCTTAAGATTTGGGGTGCTCCTTAAGCTTGGCCATTTTGAATAGCAAAGCTCCGAATGAGCAAAAGCAGAGCATTGTAGCTAGCTCTCTCACTTTCATTCTCACTCTCACTCTCACCCCACCCGGCACTCGCCTCTCCAACATTGCTTCTCCAACACAACATCAAGCTTACAACATACTCTCCCATCTACAACTCCTCAGCCTCGCGCAAGGCGAAACCATGCCGGATTCTGGCGAACCTCAGAGCCCGCCGACGACGGCCATGGCCTCGACGACCCTCGCTACCTCAAGCATGTCTTCACCCACCATTGCGGTAGGGTTCCACGGTGAAGGGCCCGCCGAGACTCGTCCGCCGCTTGCCCCCATGTACGTCAGTCACTGCACTACTTACTCACTTTGCTTCTCTGCGCTGCGCTGCAACTTTGCACTGCCTCCCCCGCGCGCTCCACCACTGCGCGGCGAGCTACTCTAACCTCTTCCTCGCCCTACGCGGTACAGATCCGATTCGGCTGCCCAACCATCAAAGTTTCAGAGCCCCATGAGGCATCACCGTCGAACGCCTTCAGCTCACCGTGAAGTCAAGGTGCGTGTGGTTTTGTTTTGCCAAGCTTCGTTGAAAAGCTCAGCTTTCGACCTGTCCCGCTGCTGCTGGGTGAGCGTGGTGGGGGCGGGGTAGCTGCGATGACGACGAACCGGAGCAATGTCCAGAGAAACTCACCGAGAAACTACTGTAGGAAACGCTCAACGCCGTGACAGCATATGGTACTGAGGCTGAGGATGGCTCAAGTCACCACCGCATCAACCAGTATGTCATTAAAGAGGAAATTGGCCGGGGCTCCTATGGTGCTGTTCACCTTGCGACCGACCAATTTGGCACCGAATACGTATGAGCCTCCCAAGCTTCCAAGCGATGACCCTTCCCATGCTAACGTCCATCCGTAGGCCGTCAAGGAATTCTCAAAAGTCCGGCTTCGTAAACGCGCGCAGTCCAACATTCTGCGGCAGGGCGCTCGCCGACCCCAGCGCTTCGCCCCCCGTGTTAGTCTCAACGCGCCGCTCTCGCCTCATTTCGGCGAGGAGGGCAACGCTGGTTGGAACGTCAACGATGCCCTGTTCTTTATCAGAGAGGAGATTGCCATCATGAAGAAGCTGAACCACCCGAACCTGGTCCAGCTGATTGAGGTGCTGGACGACCCGGAGGAAGATTCACTGTACATGGTCCTTGAAATGTGCAAGAAGGGAGTCGTGATGAAGGTCGGACTCAACGAGAAGGCGAAGCCATACGGTGAAGATTCTTGTCGTTATTGGTTCAGAGACTTGATTCTAGGCATCGAATACTGTAAGTTGGCTGCCACGTATACCCTGACCAACCAGGCTAACACGGTCTAGTACATGAGCAAGGCGTCATTCACCGGGATATCAAGCCGGACAACCTTCTCCTTACCGACGACGATGTGCTCAAGATTGTAGACTTTGGCGTCTCCGAGATGTTTGAGAAGCCGGGAGACCCCATGAAGACGGCTAAATCGGCAGGATCCCCGGCATTCCTTGCACCCGAGCTCTGCGTGGTCCGACATGGCGACGTCGATGGCAAGGCTACGGATATCTGGTCCATGGGCATATCGCTGTACTGTCTACGCTACGGCAAAATCCCGTTTGAGCAAGAGGGTGTGCTTGAGATGTACGAAGCTATCAAGACAGATTCTCCTGAGCTGCCCGGGGATGAGAATCCCGACTTTGTGGACCTCATCTGCAGGATTCTGGAAAAGGACCCCAAGAAGCGCATCCAGATGCACGAGTTGCGGGTGAGGACTAGCTTTTCTTCCGTGGCGCTAGATTTTTGTTTTGCTAATCATTAAATAGGACCATCCATGGGTTACGAAACAGGGGACAGATCCTCTGCTATCAAAGGAAGAAAATTGTTCCAAACTCGTGGAGCCCCCAAACGAGCTTGAGCTAAACCGCGCTTTCACGCGGAAGATGAACCATCTCCTCTGTGTGGTGAGCAGCACACCCACTTGCTTGTTGCTGCGCTACAAAGAAGCTAACAACCACGGCAGATGAAAGCAATTCATAAGTTCAAGAACATTCTCACAAGGCAAAGAAACGCCAAATCACGCGAAGGTTCCCAGACAGACTCCCCCCGCTTGGGTGCGATGCACGAAGACATTGAGGCCCTTCTCTCGAAACGCCGCGAGTTCCTCAAGAAGAACAGCCTCGCCGACGTAACCAAGACCGCACCCCCCGAGAGGTCCGACTCGGAACCCCGCATCCTCGGCATCGGCATCGGTTCTCGGGACGAGTTCGACAAGGATGAGCCCTCGGCCGGCGCCGTGGCCGAATCGCCGACCAACGTCGACTTCAACATTTATGACAAGGCGTACGAGGCCGAGGTAGAGCGCATCATGAGAAAGCAGACGCGGCAGAAGACGATGTACCTGACGCGCTTCGTTAAAGACCGCGAGCATTACAAGGAGGTCGCCAATGTCGTGGAGGGTACGTCGGCGGGTGTCACGCCCGTGGGGACGCCAAAGGCCGATACGAACCTGGCTGCTTCGAAGGGACGGTTCGCTGATTTGGTTCATAGCATGACTGGTGCTTCGAAAGCCAAGGCTGCCGACGAGAAGGAGGAGAGTTAAGAGCGCTGGGAGGCGAGACAAGATGTGAGTGCCCAAGAAGGCACATACGGCCTGGCGTTTTACGGGCAAGCATGAAAACAGCTCTAATTGTCTGGTATTTTCCTTTTGAATATGATACCTGTTCGTGTCCACTACGAGAGACAGAATTTCATCACTGGTTCAACTTTTGAACACCTGCAGCGAGATCCACCGTGGTTCAGTCGAGAGCTGTCTTTAGAGACGCTGAAGGTAACCCGGGTGAACAAGCATGTCAATCCTCTCAACCCGCATGGCACGTAATAGCTACTAGTATAAGTTGCTTATCCTGTGTCACACATTACTTGTCCTCGAAAGATTACCACCAACAACCAACTGCGACCAGTTCCTTTCCCTAGCCCCCCCCCCCCCCCCCAAATCTAGTCCATCCTCTTCTTCTATGTGCAACATTCAACTTCCACCTGCCATTCAGACACTCACAACGCCCTTCCTTCAATTCCATCAGTTGACTAGGTGTTTTCACGTGATATGGCCAAAATGGTAAGGTAACCCCGGACGTGCATGTAAGGCACCCCAGGTCAAGCGGGGTGGCCCCAGGGGACAGATACCTGGATACTTGGGTATACAGGCCAACTGCCGTTCGACGACAACCAACATCATCTTGAGCTCTTCTCAGATACCTATCCCACAACATTCAACCACTCAAGCCCCTTCGAAAAAAACATGTCGTCCTGCACAGTCTGCAAAAAGGGTCCGCCCCAGGTCAATCTAAAAAACTGCGCAAAGTGCGCCACAACACCATACTGCTCCCGCGACTGCCAAAAGGCCGACTGGAAATCCCACAAAAAGACGTGCGGCCGGACCGACGCCTCCGCACAACCCCGGGGTGGCGGTCCCTCCGGCACCGGTGCCGGCAACCCCACATCCGCCGGCACTGCGCTATCCCCGCCAAAGGGCCTAGACCAGCCCGTCACCCGGCCCTTTACGCGCCTCGACAACGGCACCTGGCTCCACGACCGGCCCGAGGCGGACGTCTACCGCCTCCTCATCGACGCGTACCGCCTGCACGTCGAGGACGAGTACAACATCGACGGGGACGCGGCCGAGGACAGCATCTACGGCGGCGCGGACAATGGGCTCGAGGGGTTCCGGCGCTTTCTGAAGAACGCGGCGAAGCGGAAGGGGTTGTTGCCGGCGTGGTGGAGCGCGGAGAAGCAGGCGGCGTGCGAGCGCGTGGGCGGGGCAGAGGAGGAGGACGAGGAGGAGGGCGCTGATGCTTACTATGATTTGGGGTCCGCTGTGGAGAAGGCTGATATTATTGAGCGGTATGGCGACCCGCGGTTC